CTCCAGTCACCCGCTCGGCCAGTCGCCTGCTTATCACTCCCCAACATCGACTGCCGTGGTCAACTTGCTTCGGGGACGTCTCCTCAGCGACCAGGAGCTGCTCCCCCCCCCCCCCCCCCCCCATGTTGGCCGCTATCTCGACCCTGCTCCGCTCAACGCGGTTCACACCGAGCACCGCAACGTGGAGCCGATACTTTTTGGGTCATTTTTGTAAATAATTTTATTTATCCAATCACGGAGGGGGGGGGGGGGGTTCGTTGTTGTTGTTGTTGTTGTTCCAGGGCCGTTGACCAGAGGCCTGGACGCAGAGTCCCCGACATGGTGACCTCGACAATCCACGGGTTGGGAGTCTCACGTCCGTCAGTCCGTGTGTGATCCAACTACCCTCGTTGCTGCCAGCAGGGTCCGAGGTAACAGGCAAGTTTCCTGCGCCCCACTCCACGTGCGGTCCATTCCTGCAGCAGGGACGGCTCGGCTCCAGCCGGCCGCCCTGGTAAACACTGCGAGCTGCCCCCTCCACTCGCACGCAGTGGGCACGTGGAAGATCCCGTGACGTCGTGGCAAACGAGCAAGACAGCGAGTGCCGGCGTCACGGCCCCAAACATTTAGAGAACTCACAAGGCAAGTTACTCGACTGGGATCGTACAACACAGCCCCCTCCTGCTGCGAAAAAAAAAAACCTGGCAGGACCCTCCTGCAAAAACAAAGAGTCTTGAGACTCGGCGAGGCTTGCGTGGCAACAACGCAAGTCAGGAATCCGCCTTCCCGCGGGAGCCGCCAGCGCCACGTTCGGTTTTTGCGACTCACAAACAGCAGCGCAGAGTGACGGGCGGGGCGGCGCGGTGCGTTGTCAATTACCGCGCGATTACCGCTCCGTCCTCACTCCCGCGCACTCTACTCAGAATGTCAAATGAGTCATCCGCTCCTCACTCGGCAGACGGAATTATGCGGGCTCTCGCCTAATATCACCCATCCACTTTAAGCGCTCGGGTCTCAACGCTTTCTCTCCACGTGCAGAGCACTGAGCTACCTTGAAGGCCCCGTCCCGCAGTGCCCCGTCTGCCGAGGGGGCGAGGCGGGGGTCTATGCGTGGGTGGCGCCGATGACCCTGGCTGACCCCCACCTCCACTCCCATTGTTCTCCTGCAGCGTGCATCAGCGGCACGACGCATTCCCCGAGCGCCGCCAACTCTCAGCCTCGCCCGGAGGCCGCTCGCCACCCACCCACCCAGCGCATCCATCATCCCACCAGCGCGCGCGGCCACCGCACGCTTCCGACCACATCCGCGAATCACACGTGCGGATCCAGTTTCATGACGAGCAGGCGATGCCATTCTGTTGCGCCTGGACGATACCAGCAGCGATGTCATTCAGGAGTTCGATGCCAACGTCGAGGCCCCGCTGCCGCTGCTGCTGCTGGCCACGACGAGAGGGATTCGGCCCAGAGTTCGTGTCGTGTCCCCGTTCCTCGTCCTCCGTTGAATGAGCGCAGATCAGTGGGTTGACTGTGCGGTCCGTAGTGTGGGTTGTGTGGCCACAATGGCACCAGTGGCTCGTCTTTAATGCATCTCTCTGTGTCTCTATGTATATCTGTCCCTCTATTAAGCTTACAGTCCATAGTTTTGGTTTGCACGGCCACAATTGCACTGTGGACTTTGTCTCGAGTATGACATTCATGGAGACGTGCGCCTCTGCCTGGTGGACAATTCTGGTGCGGTCGGTGCGGCTGAAACCCGGAGCCAGTGGATCTCGCAGCGGTGCGGGCCCAGCCTTGTGAGCGCCAGGAGGCGCCCGGGCCACCTGTGCGAAGATTCAGCGCAGCGCGAGCCCCTCCCCCCACCTCCCGTGGGATTGTTTTGTAAACACCGCGCGCAGCCACTGAACGTCCCAGGTCTCGGACCCCGTGGAATTCCCGCGGGGCCGAGGAACCCCACCAAGGCGAGAATCCATCTCGCAATTTGTGCTCTACAATGACGGCTCCCGGTCCACGATGTGGTAATTCCTCCTGGGGGGCCGCCAGACATCGCCAGAAACCCGGGAAGATTCAACGGTCGACGTGGATATTCAACCCCCGATAGCATTCCAACCTCCCCCTCCCCGTCTGCGGGGATGAACACGACCCCGCGTCTCGGCTCACGCCGAGCAGCAGCGTAGTGGGTAGCGCAAGTCGTAATCCGGGTGCCTCGCAACACCCGGGGCCTCGGTTCGATTCCCGACTGAGAGGTCGCTACGTTCTCTTCCCCTGTTCGGCACCAGTTTCCTCCAAGTGCTCTGGTGTCCTCCCATAGCGAAATTAAACAATGTCACTGGGATTGGTCAAACATCCCAAGGGTGACAAATGACCTGAAAATTACTCAAATGGGATTACAAAGACAAATAACCCCCCGTAGCCTGAACAGACTGTTTGGGCAAGTGCCGTCAGCGTGCACCTATGAAGGCCGGCAGAGCACACGAGAGGGTGGGTGACCAGCACCGCGCCAAGCCGCATTTGTCTTACACACCACACCACCTACTCATCGGTGTTGGCCGTGAGCGGGTTCGTAGCACAGCGCTAACCGCTACACTCCCCACTGCCTCAAAAGGGGCTAACGCGCACTCGCACACTCTGCAGAGCAGGGGAGAGCAAACACATTCCACACCCACACTGCCACGCACTCCACTCGGGAAGAAGCCCGAGTCAGGAATCGAACCCAGGCGCCTCTTGCTGCGAGGCGCGCTGGGTGCCACCGCTGCCTTCGTCACCTCCCCGGCCGCCCCAAGTAGTCGGTGTGAAGCGGTCCCCGTGGACACCGCGGACCCCACGGTCCCCGTAGTCCCCGTGGGCCCTATAGGCCCGGTGGTCCCCGTGGTCCCCACGGCCCCCGTGGTTCCTGTCGTCTCCGCGACCCCCGCGGCCACTCCGGCGCACGTCAAACTCGAGTCGGAAGTGGAAAATTTGACAGCGAATTAAAAAAAAAGTGAACACGCAGTGCGGTCAGTAGAGAAACCGAATCCCTTTATCACAAACACCACGACGCTAACACAAAGACGACGGAATTGCACCCCTACGGAACACGAAAGGCGCGTCACCCAATGGCACGGCCCACCCAGCACGCGAGCAGCGTAAACACGACCACGCCGGGGACGGTGCCAAGACGTCGCCCTCACCCCCTGGCGCCGAGACGGAGCGCATCGAAGACACCGAACCCTCCCCACGACCACGCCGCGGACACCGACACGCGGGCGGGCGGCCAACCACGCGGCCCAAAAAGCCGCACTCACAACCACGAAGGGGAAATCAAAGTGCCCGCCGCCCACGTGTTGACACGTTGAAGCCGTACGGATGCCATGAGAATGGAGGTGATACTCCGGCACTGACTCGTCCGTGCGTGTTTAGCCAAACGTGGTTTTGTTGTACCCCTCGGTGCCTTCGCGGTGTCTTGGAAATGAGAAGAGCAGAGATATATTTGAGAGTGAGCTGTGTTTGCAGTAGGAATGCTGTGTGTGTGATCCCAATTGAGTAATCTGCCAGTGATTTTTCAGCAATAGGGTTGTTTTGGCCAATACCGGTTACATTGCACGGTCTGTTTGTTTAACCATGGGATGAAACCAGAGAGACCGAAGAAAACCCACGGGGGAGAAAGTACACACACACACACACACGGAACGTACACACACAGAGGGGACACACACACGGAACGTACACACACAGAGGGGACACACACAACGGACACACACACACGCATAACGTACACACACGCAGAACATGCACACACAGAATGTACATACACACAACGTACACACACTACACACAACGCACACACACCACACACATCGTACACACACACAGATCGTAGACACACACACAGATGGAACACACACAGAACGTACACAGACACACAGAATGTGCACCCCAGGGCTTGTCGCTGCGAGGTGCGAGCGTCGCCAACCAAGTCACCCAGCAGGGCCACCGTCGGAACGTGAAAGGGGACCGGGAAACGTCAAGCCGCCGATTTTCTGGCCACCTTTAGCGATTAAAATACATTAACTCATAACCACGCACATCACCGTCGCTATTAAATGAAAACCGCCCCCTCTGCACGCATTGTAATTGTACCACTCTGCTAAACACGGCAATACATGACACGGACACGGCGAGTCGAGGAAGATTCTGGTCGAGTATGGAGAAAATTCTATGTAATTATATTTAACTACACGTATCCCCAGGCTGCATGGCTCCACCCTGGCTCCATCATCCCTCGCCAAGCCTGGCTCCAGCCTCATCACTCAGCCCCACCACCCAGTCTGGCGCCAGCCTCATCACCCAGCCTGGCTCCAGCCCCATCACCCAACCTGGTGGCAGCCCCACCACCCAGCCTGGCTCCAGCCCCACCACCCAGCCTGGCGCCAGCCTCATCACCCAGCCTGGCTCCAGCCCCACCACCCAGCCTGGCTCCAGCCCCACCACCCAGCCTGGCTCCAGCCCCACCACCCAGCCTGGCTCCAGCCCCACCACCCAGCCTGGCTCCAGCCCCATCACCCAGTCTGGCTCCAGCCCCACCACCCAGCCTGGCTCCAGCTCGATCACTCAGCCTGGCTTCAGCCCCACCACCCAGCCTGGCTCCAGCCCCACCACCCAGCCTGGCTCCAGCCCCATCACCCAGCCTAGCTCCAGCCCCACCACCCAGCTTGGCTCCAGCCCCACCACCCAGCCTGGCTCCAGCCCCACCACCCAGCCTGGCTCCAGCCCCACCACCCAGCCTGTCTCCAGCCCCACCACCCAGCCTGGCTGCAGCCCCACCACCCAGCCTGGCTTCAGCCCCACCATCCAGCCTGGCTCCAGCTCGATCACCCAGCCTGGCTCCAGCCCCACCACCCAGCCTGGCTCCAGCCCCACCACCCAGCCTGGCTCCAGCCCCATCACCCAGTCTGGCTCCAGCCCCACCACCCAGCCTGGCTCCAGCCCCACCACCCAGCCTGGCTCCAGCCCCATCACCCAGCCTGGCTCCAGCCCCACCACCCAGCCTGTCTCCAGCCCCATCACCCAGCCTGGCTCCAGCCCCACCACCCAGCCTGGCTCCAGCCCCATCACCCAGGATGGCTCCAGTCCCATCACCCAACCTGGCTCCAGCCTCATCACCCAGGATGGCTGCAGTCCCATCACCCAGCCTGGCTCCATCCCCATCACCCAGCTTGGCTCCAGCCCCATCACCCAGCCTGGCTCCAGCCCCATCACCCAGCCTGGCGCCAGCCTCATCACCCAGCCTGGCTCCAGCCCCATCACCCAGCTTGGCTCCAGCCTCATCACCCAGCCTGGCTCCAGCCCCATCACCCAGCCTGGCGCCAGCCTCATCACCCAACCTGGCTCCATCCCCATCACCCAGCTTGGCTCCAGCCCCATCACCCAGCCTGGCTCCAGCCCCATCACCCAGCCTGGCGCCAGCCTCATCACCCAGCCTGGCTCCAGCCCCATCACCCAGCCTGGCGCCAGCCTCATCACCCAGCCTGGCTCCAGCCCCATCACCCAGCCTGGCACCAGCCTCACCACCCAGCCTGGCTCCAGCCTCACCACCCAGCCTGGCTCCAGCCCCATCACCCAGCCTGGCTCCAGCCCCACCACCCAGCCTGGCCCCAGCCCCATCACCCAGCCTGGCTCCAGCCTCATCACCCAGCCACCCACACGAGGATTCCCACCTTTCCCCCACTCACCATGCCAGGCGTATTTCTTCGTTGGCCAAGGTATATGAAACAGCACAGACCATTGCTGCATGAGTAAAGTTGAACACCACTCCGTTATCAGATATCATTCCAAATAAATTTCTGCCACACCGCATCTGTGGTCTGGGAAGTAGCATCTGTTTAGACAGTAACTTGGAATTATGGCTAAGACAAGAGAGGGGTTAGGCTATACATTGTAATTGTATGTACAGATTATTTACAAGAGATATAATTACACTCTAGCCTCAAAGCAAAGTGCCCAGTTCTCTCAGCCCCGGTGCCGTCTCATTTCGCGGGGATGAACAAGGGGGTGCCGTGCATGCGGGGGTGGGGGGGGGATGCTCGCGTTGCCAACCAGCTCTGAGCACGAGATGACACCATCACCGCCGCCACTCAGCTCCAATTAGTAGGGTTGGCCAAGTACGGTGTGAAAGAAGTTCAACATACATATATACAACACCACCACCACGACATCGTGCTACCAATGTTTCGCCCCCCACCTACCACCAGGCTGAATTGCACACGACGAGCATATCTGTGGTATTGCCGAGGGGGGCGGAGAGAGCGACGCATGCAACAAAACCACCGACAAACGTACACAGATGGCACACACAGCAGAAATCCGTGCATTGCTACTGTGATTACTACAGCGGTAATGAGACGCGTCCGCCAGGCCACTGCTGGTTAACACCGCGGGGCGGCGCCAAACGTGAAATACCACGCGCCGTTCATGGTCACTCTCGGTGGACATCGAAGAATTCTCCGGACGTGGCGGCCGTCGTTGTGTGTGGCCGCGCATCACGGTTCAAATTTGACATCCAATTGCTCCGCGAATCACTTGGCTCGGGATTCCGGAGTAACAAGATCATCAAACCTTCAACCCCGACCGCAAAACCATGGGCGGCTGCGTTGGCGAAACGCAGCGCTGGTGCCTCGTCCGCTTGACGGCCGCCCCGTGCAATGAGAACGACGGCGCCCCACACCAAACGTGCCGACCTAAAATGAAGTGGACAGCTACAGCAACGTGCAAGCGCGAGATAAAAGCTGATCACCCTATGCCCCACAGCAATGGTCGCCGCATGGTTCATTCTGAAGCAAATTTACTTTTGCATTTGGCCATATCATGATCTGGCCAAATTTGTGTTTGTCAAGAACCCTCCACCACCCGACGCAAAATTAAATTGTCAAGTAGCGTACGACCGTTTAACGGTGCGCCTATTATCATTACACGCACCGGTGAGCTGAAGAGGAACCCAGTAAGTCGCACACACACGGTACATACACACACGATACACACACACACATGGTACACACACGGTACACACACGACACACATACACACGGTACACACACACACACGGTACACCCACACGGTACACACACACACGGTACACAAACGGGACACACACACACACGATACAGTGTATTCACACACACACACTTGGTGTATGCACACACACACACGGTGTATTCTCTAACCCACAAACGTGTTGTACGAAAGTTAAGTTAACAATGAAAAAGGGAAAAAAATGAATGGGCCGCGATCGCCGTCTAGGTGTACGCTATGAAACGTTTTCAGTCTAACAAACCGTGTTCTGATGTCACGTCCCTGGCTATGTTATTGCTGCTTACGGTTCTCAACTTGGGCAACCGCGTCGGACGACGCGCCGCCTTGCGATCGCACGGTGGCCCGGCGGGGGAGGGGGGGGTCGGGGGAACTTGCGTTGGGAATGCCCAGAGGGAAAAGTTCCGAGGCACGAGCACGGCACCACCATCGTCTCGGGCCAGCACGTGCTTGCGCCCCCAAACCCGCTCTCCCTCTGCTTCCGCCCCCACGCTTCGCGGGCCCGAGGACTAGCCCCGGCTCCGCGCTCGGCCGATTCTCATCCCCCCCGAGTCGCTGGGCAGGCAGTTGGGCGAGCCGCTGCCCACGGCCAGGAGGAGAGGGCCTCGTGCGGTGGTGGCGGTGGTGGCGGAGGGGCGGAGGGAGGGTGGCGGGGTGGTTAGTCCGAGTCGGAGCCGTCGTGGTACGAGGTCCGCATGGACCTGCCGTTCTGCAGAGGCAGCTCCTCGTGGTCCGTGCTGTGCGATAAAGGCAAAGACAAAGTTCCCCCGTGTAGATTTTAAGAAACTGTTGGGGAAAGTGTTGTTCGTGAACAACCTGTGCGCACGCGGATACACAGACACACACGTTATGTGTGTAGGTGCTGTTACCATTGCACATACCCGAGACACTCACATGAAATAAACATGTCATTACCATAGACGCACATGTGACTACCGTGCACACACATACATGTTACATGTCACGAAAGGGAAAGATCCCCCGTGTAGCCTTAACAGACTGTAGGTGCAAGTACTGTTAGGGAACACCTATGAAAGCCGGCACGGCACACGAGAGGGTGAGTGGCCAGCACCATGCCCGGCCGCCTTTGTCTCCCCAGCGACAATGATTTTACAGAGTGCACCAGGTATTCATATGTGTGTGATTTGACATAGGGGAGGCCCAGGATAGGTTCCGATAATCGTCACTGGTGTTGGCCGTGAGCGCGCGTGTGTGTGTCATGTCACAACATGAGAGGCTTCGAGTCTCCGCTCAGGGTGAAGGCTCGGCGCGCCGGGCGGCTGCGTCTCTCTCACCCGTAGATGACGTCGTCGTCCGAGTCGTTGAGCATGGAGAATGTGGGGTTGTCCTTGAGCTGGGACTCTGCGGCACAGAGACATGCACATGTCGCACCCCCCTCGGGTAAGCACCGGGCAGGGACTCGCTCGCTCGCCCGCCTGCCCGCCCACTCCCCAGCCCTGCGCGCGCGGCCACCGTGCATGGTTCGAATCTGGCAGGCCGCCCTGGTTAATGCTGCGGTATGTATGAACCGCCATTACACTACGCGTGCTTTCTGTTTCGCTCGCAGTGGATGTTAAAGATTCCCCCCCCCCCACCACCCCTGACGAATGGGCGGCCGTCGGTGTGCCCGGCGTCACGCGGTCTAAATTCGCGATTTCAAAATTTACACCACAAAACGAGGCAATCGACATCGCATGCAATGGCAACGTCGCCTCCCGCCCCCGCTCCCCCCTCCCCCGCCGTGAAACCACCACGCGTTGCGTCTGTGAAACACCGTGCCACGAGAACCATGCGAGCTAAATTATCAATATTATCGTTATCGTTCTGCCGCAACATTTTACGCTCGCTCGTTGGAGCAAACGTCCGTAAAAGTCAAGTAAGCAAAGTCGGGAGCGAGTTCCGGCTCAAAACGAGCATCGAGGCACCGACGTAGCGGCGGCGATGGCACCAGCGTGCGGTGTTTACCATAGACCGCGTTCTTGGAGGGCGAGTAGACGAACGCCAGCGTGTAGAGGTAGAAGTTGAGAAGCCCGTAGAAGGAGAGGAACTCGGCCGGTGAGGCAGGGAGTCAGGGAGCAATCGCACGCGGTGCCGCGACCTTGCCGAGCACCGAGTCATAAATCAAAGCGCCGTGACGTCGCGCAGTTTACGAGAGCCATCAATTACACGACACAAGCGGCGCCCCCTTCCGGGATAAACTTCCCCTGCACCTTTCATACCGCAGCGGTTCACACGCGGACGCTGCTCACGGTGAGATTTTCACCGCAACAAACGCCGGTGGGCCCCCGCGTTGCTTGGTTGGGATTGCGCACGGCAGACTAACGCTCGTTCGCGGGCTGCCGAGTCACCGCGTGCCGCGCAGTGGTCAGCTGCCACTGGGGGTGCCCCCCCCCCCCCCCCCCCCCCCCGCGTTGAGACGCGAGGATTCGCGAGTAGCTCATCGCGTGCAAAGCGCTCCGCAACACGTATAGAGGGCGGCGTCGCCCAACGCACCTCGCCGCTGTCGTTGTTAAGGCAGGGGCGGGCCAGCTAGGTGGCACTGGCGAGGGCTCACGTCCCCACCAGAGGACAGAGGAGGCTCCCCGGTGCCAGGGGACCGTCACGGAACGAGCGCTTCACTCAGCGTCCGCGTGGGCCCCCGACCACATGACGCTCCGCGGTCGTGAAGTGAAGAGGTCGGAGCGCGGCCTTGCCGTTGCCACCTCGCGGCGATGCCGACGGAAAGCACTCACCTCTCAAAGGGTATTTGGTCTACTCTTCAACGGCGGCCGGGCGTGTTGAAAAAAGTGGGCGTACCCACGCTTTACATCAACACAATGCGACCCGTCAATGGACTCGCTGCGACGAACCCACGTTCGCCGCCGCTACTGCGCATACAGCAGCGGTGAACGTGGGGGATCGGAGAAACCTGCACCATCGTGCGGGGAAGACGAACCGGCAACCTCCGCACTGTGCGAAAAAAACGTTAACTGGGTTGTATAACCGGTTATTTTAAAGTGCCCGAGTTCCCTTTGCTGCTGCGCGGAGCGGTGGCTCAGCTGAGCTGCTGACTGCTGCCCCACCACAGAGGCAGCTTCAGGCCCGCCAGGCCGAAGGATATAGTTCTGGTAGTGGGTGGACAGCTGGGAGATGAAGTTGTCCTGCAGAACTTGAGATCCGAACCTCAGGAACAAGATGGTGATGCTGCGAGACACGAACCGAGGTGAAAAAAGTATAACCCGTAAAAACGAAGTTTTTCACTCTAAATCCTTTATATGCGTGGCGGTTCGAGTCCTCTCATCCTCTGACTTGAGATGGCTGCCACCTATGGGTCAGATGATTGTCTGCCAGTATTAAGCAATTGGTAATTAAATATTTAATTTGCTTTCCCTAAACAGTGTAAAATTTTGGAAAAAATTTTTCACGAACATTAATTGTCTCGCACAACGAGTCTGTGTGCAAAATGTCAGCTCGATTGGATCACGGGAAGTGGGTTTAAAAACGACCGAAAGGTTTGCACGGTCCAAAGCAAGCAAGCAAGCACGCAAGCAAGCGAACTTAATATAAAGGATTTTAAAAAGAGCTTCATAAGCTCATCCGATTCTTCCAGGAAAAAATATTCTGACACACTGCACGCACGCACGCACGCACGCCGCGGGGTCCGAGCGCCGAGCCGGCACCGCCCGGCTTTACCTGATCACGAGCACCACCAGCGTAAGCACCGTGAGGAACTTGAGCCGCAGGTCTAGGGGAGACACGTACCGACGCACGCATAAACACATTGCCACAGACATACGTGGACAAACACAAAGATCCCCCGTATAACTTGAACAGATTGTTGGGGCAAGTGGTGTTATCGAGTAGCGCCTACAAAAGCCGGCAAAGGACCGGTTCATATATTCGTCACTGGTGTTGACCGTGAGTGGGAATCCAACTTGTGTTGCTGGGTCTGTAGCACAGTGTGCTAACTGCTATACTCCCGCTCTCCACTCATCCATATATGCTTTTATACAACAGACGCCATTCACCACTAAGTGACAGTGACGTCACCATGGCGCCTGTGCCAGGCCAGGTGCACTTTTGAGACCACGTGAAGTGTCACTGACAGGAGGTCACGAGAAAGACTCAGGTGCCATGGGTTGACTGAGATGACTGGCAGATGATGCACCAGCTGTGCCCCGTACTGTGCCAATTTGCTGTATTTTAGCCACCCGATGCTCTGCCCGTTGTTGTGAGCATTGCAACTGCCTCCAACTGCCGAGTTGCGTATTTCACGAGCCTGCTCCGTAGATACCGATCTTGATACCGCTGGTACCAGTCTTCGGCAAGTCCACTCAGCTCTACATCCTCCTGTACCGCATCAGTCCATATATTTTCCAGCTTGTGTCATGCCCGTTTAGTCCCCGCTGTACGGCCAAAAATAAGCTGCTTGGGAATGCAATAGCTGGGCATGCGGGCTACATGACCCAGCCAACGCAGCCTTACCTGCCGGAGAAGTTAACTGGTGGAAATGTCCAGATTTGCTTAAACCCAAAATGGATCGTAGGCACGCCAGCCTGAATAATTCTAACCAGCACAGATGTTCCATCAGAGGGGTCTAGGTTTCGTAAACATAAACAAGTATAACCCGTAAAAACAAAGTTTTTCACTATAAATCCTTTATATGCGTGGCGGCTAGAGTCCTCTCGTCCTCTGGCTTGAGATGGCTGACACCTATGGGTCAGATGATTGTCTGCCAGTATTAAGCAATTGGTAATTAAATATTTAATTTGTTTTCCCTAAACAGTGTAAAATTTTGGAAAAAAATTTTCACGAACATTAATTGTCTCGCACAAAGAGTCTGTGTGCAAAATGTCAGCTCGATTGGATCACGGGAAGTGGGTTAAAAAACGACTGAAAGATGTGCACGGTCGTAAGCAAGCAAGCAAGCACGCAAGCACGCAAGCAAGCAAGCAAGCGAACTTAATATAAAGGATTTAAAAAAGGGAGGGCATGACTGTGGTTGCGAAGACCCGAAGCTTCGTGTTGGAGTGACAGACCATGTAGCTTTAACGCAGCATTACCAAGCCGATGAAAAGATAATGCCGCCCGACTGATTCGGAGTGAGACCTCTGCTGTCAAACCGGAGCTGGTTATAAGCACACTGCCCAGGTATGTAAAACTCTCCACTCTCTTCACAACTGCTTCATTACCAATGGGAGTATGTATGAATGCATGTTGAACTTCTTTCGCGCTGTACGTGGCCAACCGTGCTAATCGGAGGTGCAGGGGAAGGACAACAAACAAAAACCCAGGAAGGTTCTTAATTTTGGTGGCATGCTCCAGTTTCAGCAGCAGCACCTCCAACTCCTCCTCTGAGTGAGCAGCAATCACCAGATCATCAGCATACATAACATAATTGTTCAATAGGCAGCCATCCCTCAACCGCACCTGGGCATCGATCAGCCTCCCATTCTATCTGTACCAAATGGAAATTCCTCCGGTACAGCCATGGAAAGCTTCTTGAACTACGTGGTCAAAGATGATATGAAATATGGGAGCCAGAGGACATCCCTGTCGCACTGCAAGGTGTACAGGGAATGGCTCTGACTCCGGGCCATTTAGCTTCAACCGGGCCTGCCTACCATCATGAAGGCCTTTAATGATTGTGAGCAGAGAGCCAGGGAATGTGAAAGGTCTTGACCAGGTCAATAAAGCAGAGATGTAGGTCTTTTTGAAATTCTCTACACCTCTACTGTAACAAACGGACAGAGAATATGGCATCCGTGCAGACCGCCTTGGTCTGAAACCACATTGAGACTCTGCAAGCCTCTCCTCAGTGTGCCTGGTAAGGCGATGTTGAATAATCCTTGCCAGGACCTTTCCCGGCACACTAAGAAGAGATATCCTCCTGCAGCTATAACAATCTGTGCGGTCCCCCTTCTTAAAGAGGGGGACTACCATGACATCCTTCCAATCCTGCGGAACCTGTCCTGTGCTCCAGACAGTTGTGATGTCATGTAGGGCAGTCTGCACACAGACACCACCCCCTCCCTCAGAGATCAACTCTACCCAGCACTTTTTCTGGTCTCAGACTCCGGAATGCCCCTCACACTACCTCCACAGATGGCACCTCAGCCATAGAAGGGGTAGATATTTGAGGCAGGGCAACCCCAGCAGGATCATCCCCACCTTGTCCATGATATTGTTCTAGGCTGCAGCAATTCCCTTCACAAAAGACCTCAGAGAAATGCTCTGCAAACCTGCAGACCAGTTCCTGAGTGTTGGAGATCAGATGACCATTCTTTACCTTGAGGATGGTGATAGATGAGGTGCTGAAAGTTACTTTTTTATGGAATAAGTGATATGTGATCGTGGGCTACGGAGGCAGATTCCATCTGCTCAGCAACCCACGCCCATGCCGCTCATGCTTGTAGCGCCACGCGGCTCTCCCAACCTCCGAGGAAGGCTCCGGTTAACCTCATTCTTCGTTGGAACACCTCCTCTTTCAGCCAGTGTATCTGGGGAGGTCTGGACCACACACTCAATGCAGCAATTGCAGCTGCATGAGCCACAGTCCTGAACCTCACCCATTTCTCCTCAGCATCAGGATGTGGGGACGATGCCAACCCCAACTGCAAGCGATTTTTAAACTCCTGCTTGCAACTATCCTCAGCTAGCCGAGACCAGGTTGCCGTGGGTTTGAATGAGGTCTTCGATGGACGCCCACCATTGGAGTGGAAGAATGGTAGGCGCATCTTCCAAATGACAAGTGTCTGCGTCATTATCCACTCGAGCATTAAAGTAACCCAACAGGATGACTCGATCCCGAGGGGCCACTTTAGCTTGCACCTGGAACAGGAGGTTATACAAGGCGTCTGACTCATGTACACGCACGTACATACACACACACCCACATATTTACAAACAAACACACGCATGAGGCAAAAGTTTGGCCAGGACCGGCTGCCTTTGTCTCCCCAATGCTGATATTTAGCTACTGATAAGGGAGCGGGAGAGGAAGGGAATGGAGCGAGGGAGGGAGCAGAGCGGGGAAGGGAGCAAGGGAGGGAGCGAGGGAGAGTGAGAGGGAGGGAGCGAGGGAGGGAGCGAGCGAGGGAGAGAGCGAGGGAGGGAGGGTGTGAGGGAGGGACCGAGCGAGCAAGGCAGGGAGGGTGTGAGGGATTGAGTGAGCGAGGGAGGGATCGAGGGAGGGAGGGTGTGAGGGATTGAGTGAGCGAGCACGGGAGGGAGCGAACGAGGGAGCGAGTGAGCGAGGGAGTGAGTGCGGGAGAGAGCGAGGGAGGGAGGGTGTGAGGGAGCGAGCGAGGGAGGGAGGGAGCGAGCGAGCGAGGGCGAGTGACGCACCGAAGTAGGGCATGTTGCGCAGCTCGGTGCAGGCACGCACGATGAGGAAGACGAGGTAGAGGATGTACATGGCGCCCACAACAAAGAAGAAGATCTTCATACCCTGCAAGGCGGCAGCGCGAACCATCACAATCATGGCTCTCCAGGAGCAGCGTCCCCAGGCATCATTAGGTTCACATGAGGCTCGCTAAAGTGTCTCAACAACTGAAGCGGACGGCGTGGAGTGTTTTTACAGTCCGTACACCCGCCGGCAGTATCAATCAGGGCAGTCTGCTGGATTGGAATCACAAAGTGGCAACGGGCCTTCTACTATAAAACAACAGCAGACTAACGGCCGTGAAATCCTGCGGCGGCCTCCTGTACAACGACAATGGCCCTGCACCAGAAGAACGAGAGAGCCGATGGCCCCCGTTGCGAAGAATGCTGTTTGTTGAAAGAAGCGCTGTTCAGGATTATATTCTGAAATATGATTTGGAAATATGTAAATATATAAGAACGCGTAGTTCGCAGCCCTTTGTCAAACCGCTGCTGCATGAAGGCTTCCTCGCATTGTGTCGAGGGATGGTCACGCGGCGGAGGGGCGGGAGGGACGAGGGGGGGGGGTGGGGGGGGCGGGTGGGGGGGGTTGTTGACCGTACTTCACCATGTCACTGGAATGCGGCGCATTCGGTACGATACCTCGAAGTTCCCCGTGTCGACGCGGTACTGGAATGTCGGGTCCTGCAGCTCGTTCATTCTGCAAGAGAGGAGCAGGCACGGCGATGTCACGTGGCGTGCAGCGGGAGGTGGAGGAGGGGTGGGGGGGTGCCACGTGACTCCGCCAAGTCGGTTATACTGCCTGTCGCTCGTGCCGGGCCGGCTGGCGGCACTCGCGACAGGCGTCGTCGCTCTGCCAGGGGCTGTGCTGGCGTCCGGACGTTCCCGGGAAGCCGCTGTTCCGGCACGGATCCGGTTCGGTGGCGCGACGCCGCTCATTTCAGCGGTTCGTGGATTCATCTGGCAAGCCGCTACCAGTTAGTGACGCAGCGTCAGCCACAAAATTCTAGCCGCCCTCTGTTTCACAGCTGCCATTAAGGAGGCCACGTGTGCTGGCGTCACGGTCCCAATTTTGCCAAATTAGAAACATTACATCTCAAAGCGCTCCGATTGGGATTACGGGCACACAGAAACAACATCGACCCTCACTGGCAGAAAACTAAATCTCGTCTGCAGGCCAGATGCCACCGGGGGTGACCATTCAATTGGCCAAAATGTGCTGCGAGGAGCTAATCGCATGCAACGCCCTCCACGACGCAGCTCAGCGATGAGTGCGATGCTGGGAGCAGCGCCCGCTATTAGAGGCTGGGGCACTGGCAGGAAGCGGTGGGGGGGTGCTGTAGCTGGCGCTGCTTACGTCTGCCAGATTCCAAGAGTGACGGCCGCGACCCAGAGCAGCCCCACGATGAGTAGCTTAGGCAGGTAAAACGTGAAGAACCTGCGATTGGACTGAGAGCACACACAACAACAGCTCTAAACACACAGTGCGGGTCGGTGCGGTACCTGCGTGTGGGTCGGTGCGGGCCGGTGCGGTACCTGCGTGCGGGTCGGTGCGGGTCGGTGCGGTACCTGCGTGCGGATGCCGTGGTAGACGCAGAGCCAAAACAGCAGCAGGGCGCTGAGGAAGGAGGCCTGGAAGATGGCGTCCAGCAGGCCCGGCACCCACGAGTTGACGAGGAATGACAGCGGGAAGATGGGGTCTGCTCGCACGCCCACACACGCCGCAGACCCGTCATCCCCAACACCGTCACTGAGCGGCAGGGTGGCAGCGCAGAAGTCACGCTCACAACCCACAGCGAGAAGCGCCCGGGTTCGATTCCCGACTTTTCTGCGTAGAGCTTGTATGTTCCGCATGGGCTTCTTCCGGGTTCTCCGGCTTCCTAACCGTGGCTAAATGAATAAATACGCAATTCGTATTGGACAAAACATCCCAATGCTCAGAGATTCCCTGCAAATTGCTCGATTGGGATGCCACACAGCAGCATCTTTAAAAACAGCAGCGTACGCAGTCTCGAGACTCGGTGAGGCTCTCGTGAGTGTGAACGAGCGATCCAGGTGCCCTCCCACGAGCCAGAGACTTGCCGTCGCACCGGCGTAGCCGCGGCCGTAAAAAACCAAGGCCGGCATCGGCGGCAACGGTCGGAGAAATCCCCTCCCTGCGACGTTCCGCGCTCCGCATTTTAGGGATTTATGGCCGGGTGCCATACGCAGACGTTTAACGCAAAAACTGGGGGGGGGGGGGGGAGCGGTTAACGAGTGGAGGGGCGGCGGCTCCCCACCGTTGTAGAGCAGCAGCAGGGGAAGCAGAATGGCCATCCACTTCTGCTCGATGGCCCAGTCCCGCATGGAGAACTTGCGCAGGGAGTGAGCGAAGAGGCACTGCGCAGCGACACGGGGCGGTACGCATGTTTCGGCACGTGCGCCGCAGCACGCATGCACAGCAGCAGCACACGCATAGCAACACACACGCACAGCAACAGCACACGCAAAGCAGTACACACACAGCAGCACATACAGGCACAGCAGCAGAAACACGCACAGCACATGCACCAGCACACATGGACACAGCAGCTCATACAGAAGCACACGCCAACACTAAGCAACCACTGCCATTTAAACGCAATCAGAGATATTACCCCGACCGGACCACCGCTAATGCCGTCTCGTCGAGTCCCAGCTGTTTCACGAGCCAAGCGATTACAATAATCCCCGTGGGCGGCCGCCCCCCACCCACGCCCTCCACCCACGCCCTCCACCCACGCCCCCCACCCACGCCCCCCACCCACGCCCTCCACCCATGCCCCCCACCACCACCACGTCGCCACCGCCCCGCGGGCTGGCACTGACCGTAACGAGGAAGGTGAGCAGCAGGAAGACGAAACGGAACCAGATCTCCACCTGCGTGAAGGCCGCGTTGTACACCTTGAACTGTGGGCAGAGGAGGGCAGGCGCCGTCGCAAGCGGTGTGAGCCACGTCGCCGTAAGACAATAATATCTATTTAAGTATTATTATTTGAACAAGGCCCACTGAGCTATAAAGCTCTTTTGCAGAAGTGGCTTATCGTGTGAAAATGTACAGCAGCCAAATACTGTAAACCCGAGACGTTGATTCTAAATGTGGAACAAAAAACCGGAGGACCCTGAGAAAAAGCCAAAACACCATGGGGAAGAGAGAGACATGCAAACTCCAAATATACAGGCGTCGGGGTCGGGATCGAACCCACGACCTCATGCATACCAGGCAAGGAAGTTAACATCTTGCCACTGCGATGCTCGATTGTTATTGTTGGTGCGCTGGTTCACCCAAAAAAGCCTCACCGAGTCTCAAGACTCTTTTTCAGGAGGGTCCTGCCAAATGTTGTTGCTGTGTGATCCCAATGGTGTAATTTGCAGGTCATATTTCAGCATTGGGAATGTTTTGCCCCAATAACGATTACATTGTATGTTTTTTTAAGCTATGGGAGCAAACCGGAGAACCCAGAGGAAACACACGCAGAACAGGGGGAGAGAGAGAACACACAGAGAGACTCCACACACGCAGGAAGGTGCCCAAGTCGGGAATCGAACCCGGTCGCTTCTCACTGTGCGGCGCGAGCATCACCACTGCGCTGCCACCCTGCTGCCCACATTTGTAAAGGCGTCCACATTAATTCCCTTAATCCGCAACGCAAACAGTGACGCGCGCCTCTCACACGCACACACACACGCGCGCGCGGGAAGCCCCACCGCTCCCGAGCGGAGTCAGTGGCGTGGAACGCTGCACAAGCCGGGGGCTTAGCGTCGGTCGCCAGAAAACAAATTGTGAAGATCATCGCCATCTTCTTTGTATTCATATCGCGCCGCTCGCTTAAACGCCACGGCAACTCAAAGCGCCTTAACATCTTGTCACGAACGTTCGAAGGGCGCCCCCAAGTGGCAGCTGTCCCCGTGGGGTCCAAGGCGACTCGGCGACGGCCGTCACTCGGGCATCGGTCTGCCAGTTGGGGGCGACGATCGCTGCTGCGCACGATCCCAGTTGTGTCGTTTGTGGTGTCATTTTTGGAATATCAGTAAATTTGCACCGTGGATCCGGCACAGTAAACACTGACAGCCTCATCGTTTTGAATGAAGGCACGAGATCTTTAATGTCCACCGTGAAACAGACGGCGCGTAGTGTGGATGCGGTTAATAAGCACACCGCAGGATTAACTAAGGCAGCTTTCCAGATATTTGAACTGCAAACTTCTGCAACAGAACCGCTGGGCTGCGGCACCGCCCTACTCTTATGTACATGTTTATTTATGCCAGGCCAGGTGTGCTTTGAGCCCAAGTGAAGTGTCGAAGGCGAGCTGACAGGAGGTCATGGGACAGACCCAGGAGCCATGGGTTGATTGAGATGGCTGGTAGATGCAAGAGCTGTGCACCCCACTGTGCCAACTTGCTGCCTTTTAGCCAACCGACGCTCCGCTCGTTGCGAGCGTCGCTCCTCTGCCCTCCATTGTTGCTGGAGGGCGATTGCCTCGAACTGCCCAGTAGCATCCCTCACGAGCCTCCTCCATCGAGGCCGATCTTGACACCGCTGGTACAAGGCTTCGGCAAGTCCATTCAGCTCCACATCCTCCCGTACAGCATCAGTCCATCTCTTTTCCAGCCCAAGGCATGCCTGTTTAGCCCCCTCTATCCGGCCAAACATACACGCTAGGTCCCACGACCTCATGGCACTGGCTGTGGTCGGTCGTACCGACCACGGGGCCCGTCGTTTCCACCACAGGGCCCGTCGTACCGTGAAGTTGACCTCTTGCATGACGTGCACCATCTGCTCCAGGCCCTGGAACTGCACTCGCACCAGGTACTTGGTGTAGTCCAGGAAGCCCAGGTGCAGCACGATGATCTCGTTGCATTTCTGCTGCGGCCACGCGAATACAATACGCATAACATAGATACAACACACACTCTATTAACCGCTCCCCTGAACAGACTTTTGGGAGATCTCATTCTTCGCCTACGTGCTAATAATAGGATGTATATTTTTTTATTTATTGGGATGTTTCACCTGGAGAATCCCTCGGGACAAAGCGTCCTGCGTGCAGTTGGCGTCGAGTGACGCGCACACACACGCACGTGAAGAAACAAATACGCGACAACAACGCATGCACCCAAGACGTGCAACTTATGCGATGCGCACTCACGCAGTGAACGTCGCACCCAGACCAGCGCACAAACAACTCAGTCACAAATCATCGTCGTTCTCCGGGCAGCAGCAGCCTCGCGCTGCCGGGCTCGTCCTGCTCTCCGCGCGTGACTAAAGAGATGGTCGCGCCGGACCAGTCACCATTTCCGTAGAGACGCGCGTGGCGTTACGGGCACGGCCTCCGGAGGCCGCGTCAGGCTGCGTCAGGCCACGTTAGGCCGCGCGGTGTAACACGGCCTCCGCCGTGGTCTGCCTGGCGAAGCTCCGCGTGGTGCAGTTGGTGAGTTGGGGGGGGGGGGACCGCTTTACCTGGGAGCAGCGCAAGCAGCGGCTGCGGTTGTAGGAGATGGTGTTCACCATGACCATGCTGGCGTCACGCTCCCGGCCCGTGATGGCCACCGAGAGGTTGAAGTTCTGCTCAAAGGCGCCTGGGGTGGGGCGAGGAGAGACGGCGACGAGGCGAGAGGGACGGAAGACGGGCGCAAAAACGCACGCACCATGCCGTGAGCAACCGACCCACAAGGGCCGCTCACACTCTCGCTCCTCTCAACACTCACAGACCCCAATCGCAGACCACAATCGCAGACCACAATCGCAGAGATCAAGTGCTATTAGCGCTGTCATCCCGATAGCGCAAGGCGTGGACGTGGCACGACGTTGCTAGGTTCTAGCAGTAGTTTCACAGTCAGGCGCGATTTTGCCATGTGTAGCCGTGTGTAATTCCCACTGACCAATCAAAGGTGTAATTTTCCGTATTCGGCAAAACGCGGACCGTGACGCCGGCGGCACAGCAATGGCTTACTGCTTCGCATCCAATAGCAACGCGGGATCCCTTTTAATGTCCACCGTGAAGCAGACGGCGCTCGGTCCCCACACGGGAAACCATACTGCTGCAGTAATAACCATGGCGGGCGGCCTGGCGGATTTCAAACGGCTATCCTCGACCAACGAGCGGCGAACGAGCCGCGGGCTGGGCCGCGTCGCCCAAACAGTGAACGGAACCAAGCGCGCCAATGAAAGCGCCTTTTCCTGAACAGGAGTTTTGAGCCTCAGCGAGGACTGCCTGGGCAAGTAAATTGGCATTTGGCGCCGAATCCAAACGGCAGGACAGCCGTTGCCGCCTGTGCTACCGCGGATCCGCGGGACGCCGTGGGCCGTACCGTTGCTGCGCTCCGCCAGTTCGATATCGCACATGAGCCACAGCTGCTGGTTGAAGGTGGAAAGGGTCGGCGACGTCAGCTGGAAGGGACCCACCTGGACACGGGAGGGCAACGTTAAACCGCCGTCACACTGCCACCGTCACAGTCACATAACCACCACTGTCTCGCCGCCGCTACTACCATCACACCACCGCTTTCACATCACCGCTACCACCGTCACACCACTGCTATCACCGTCACACCACCGCCATCACCGTTACATCATCACCACTGTCACACCACTGCTACCACTGTCACACCACCACCGTCGTCATAAAACCACCATCAAGGTCATACCGCAAGCACACGTGGTGCAGCGCACGCCAAGTGGAGTCACCTTCAAGTCCGGGGGCTTCATGGAGAGATGCGTGGCCTGCTCCACGGTTGCGTTGATGACGCTCGGGCCTACAAAAAAACCAGTGATTGTACCACCACCACAATTGCCACCGAGTTCCCTACATCACGGCTTCCTGCTGGTCCGTGGTTCCTCCTGTGTTGACGGCACGTTGCAGGTTGCCATCATCATTGCTAAAAGCGTAGCGGCGTGCCGTCAAGGGTCAAAGCGCTTCCTCGGTGCGAAAACCTCACCATCGCCAGCTCAAATGCTGGGTTAAACTGACGCTTCGACCGCGCCCGTTCCATCGCTTTTATTTGGTGGCCACGCCGGGGAGGGGCGCTGTAATATAGCGATGAATTCGGACACCCGACGAAATCACCGATCAAAGATTTTGGCCAACTTGTATGGAAGAAAGTGGTCGTGGTGTTGATCGAAGGGGGTGTGTTTGCCCATGTATGGTCATTGTGGCTCATGAATCGAGAGTTCTTTTGTATTTATTTAGCTCAGTCAATCTGGCACCCAGCTCAAAGTTGATCGGGCAGCCATCTTGAAAATGTCGATTTATTGCAATTCATTGGCAATCGATTCATTGGCAAGCGATATTCGGATCGAATGATATGCTCCCTTTATACAGCAAGATCTGGGATTCCTGTCGCGGTGCCGTATCTTGGCTCCCCGGGACCTCCCCCTGCGACCTCCAGTCACATTCACATGGGGAGCGAGGGGGGGAGCGAGGGGGGGGCGAGGGGGGGGCGATGGGAGAGCAATGACAGAGTATGGGGGGGGCGCTACCTACCGGCCACACCGATGAGCAGCGTGAGCCCGAAGCAAGCGAAGAAGGTGGCGAACACCAGCACAAAGTGGCGCTTGGACATGGTGTAGAGGCGCATCTGCACCGACCTGCAGGCGGCAACAGAGACAAAGGGGAGCCCCCGTGTACCCTGAACGGACCGTTGGGGTAAGTGCTGTTAGCGAGCACCTACTACTGCCGACAAGGCACACGAGTGGGTGGGTGGTCAGCACCACCCCTGCCCATGAACTGCGTCTCGCTGGTGCTGATATTTACAGACCGCACCAGGTACTGATTTGAGGCCGAGTTAACCTAGACGAGGCCCAGGACCAGTTCACATATGTTACCATTGGCCGTGAGCAGGAATCAAACTCGGATCATTGGGTTTGTGGAGAAGTGTGCTCACCACCACGTAACACCGCTCCCCGTAGACACACGCACAATGGTGCGCACGCACAGACACAAGCGCACACCAGGGGACAACCACTGCACACAGCGACCATCGTTCTCCTACTGCCAGACAAACGGCCACTTGCAGGCCAGGTGCCGAGTCGCGATATGCCGCACAGGGACAGGTGCTACAGGGGGTGCCCCTTTCAAGCGTTTAAGACGAGACTCCAGTCGGTCATCGCAAGCGAGCCGCCGACAGTGGAGGCCGCTGCGTAGAGGCCACGAGCGACCACTCATCCACGCGTCTCGCGCTGCCCGCGCCGCAGCAGCAACCGCAGTGGCAGCAGCGGCGGCAGCAGCCGTCGTGGCGTCGTCCCCATGCTGCCGCTCGCTACGGGTACTCGGGGAGCTACGCGCCCGTGCGGTCGCAGGTCATCCCAACACCTTCACAGCTGCTCCCAATAGCAGACTTCACTGCGTGCGTATACAGAGCGTGATTCTCTCACTCACACTCGCTCACTCACTCACACTCGCTCGCTCACACTCTCGCACTTGCTTACTCAAATCCTCACATTCGCTCAATCGCTCACACGTGCTCACACTTGCTCACTCACACTCATTCAATCACTCACTCATATTCGTTCAATCCCTCACACACTCATTCACTCACTCATACTCGCGCACTCGCTCAGGAATGCGCACACCGCACCCTCCGGTGCTTTGCCACGCTCGAGCCTGGGGCGTCGAGGCGTGGCCCTGCGTGGGAGCCATGCGGGGACAGTGCCGGATTTTTACCGACATCAGCGCGTTCAGTTCGCGAGGCTCCTCGACACGGCCGCCCGCTCTCTCCAAGAGTCACGGTGGAGGCTCGGCGATCGACGGGTGCCGTCCCGAGTCGGGGACGTGCTGCCCATTCTGAGGTAAGCCAAGAAATCCGAACGTGGAACGCGCAGACCGAGCTTCCGGTGAAGCGAATGAGACGGACTCGTGGCCTCGGGCGCAGCGCACGGCCGCTTCCAGTGACTTTAAATTGCCAGCCACCACCGCTCCCCCCGGCTCACGAGGGCAGCTCCTCCTCCTTCTCCTCCTCCTTCTCCTCCTCCTCTGCCGCCGCTGCTGCCGCTTAAAGTTTGCATTTCGTAATTGGGGCTGTGAGCTTAAGGAAAATAATCCGTGCGAGACTGAAACTAAACAAATATTAATGAGCCACGTTGGCAGGCCAGAAATGGGTGGGCGAGTGGGTGGGTGAGTGAACGAGTGAGTGGGTGGGTGAGCGAGTGAGTGGGTGGGTGAGCGAGTGAGTGGGTGAGCAGATGAGAGGGTGGGTGGGCGAGTGATTGAGTGTTGAGGGAGGAAGTGGGAGTGATTGGGTGTAACTGTGGGCAGGTGAGTTAGAGTGGGTAAAAGTGCAATTTCGGTAAGTAGAAAAGATACTGTGTCACTGACCAGGTATTCTGATCTGTTAAATGACCGAGTTATTCCCCCAGGTGAGACTGTGATGGCCCCGTTATTAGACGGGAATGTGATGTGAGCGATTGCGTCGTAGTGTTGTTCTTGGCTGCCAGGAGGCTGCGACGCACGTCTGGTTTTGCCTGGTGCGTCTGCAGCTTCACTCAGGATGGATAAATCTTCATTACAACCAGTGACAGCCCAGTGACCCCCCCCCCCCCCAAAACACACACACGTCTTCTTGAAAAATACAAAGATCCCCCCTTCAGCCTTAACATAATGTTGGGGCTAGAGCTATTAGCAAGCGCCTATGAAGACCAGCATGGCCGATGGGTGGATTGGTGGCCAGAACCACGCCCGGTGGCCTGTCTACTGAGTGGCAATGTTTAAACACCGCGCCAGGTACTGGACTCATTTGAGGCTGGATCAACCTAGGGGAGGCCCAGGACCTGGAGTTGGCCGCGAGCGGGAATCGAACTGGAGTTGCCAGGTTGGTCACTACACTTCCGCTCCCCACCCCACTCGCTCTCCCCACTCACTCACCCCACTCAAACACTCGGGACAACAGAACGAGATTCCTGTGCGGGGTGCGGTACAGGTGGAGCCACGTGTTCACCCAAGACAAACACGACTCCCGCGACGACTCGGTGTGGCGAGGGCAGCACTGCGACACCACGCTGAGTGGACAGCGCTGCTTCAAGGGACCGCACACCCAGTTCACTTCACCACCGTGACACGATGTGACTCACAGGCACGCACGCACGACTGCTCCAACCCAGCACGACACACAGGACCCCACAACACACACCATCACCAACAACAACCGCCATTCGCCACTAAGTGGCGGTGACGTCACCACGACGCTTGTGCCAGACCATGTGCACCTTGAGGCCACGTGAAGTGTCGAACGCCCGCTGGCAGGAGGTCACGGGGCAGACCCAGGTGCCACAGGTCGACTGACTGAGATGACTGGCTGATGCACCACCTATGCCCCCTACTGTGCCAACTTGCTGTGCTTTAGCTACCCGGCGCTCCGCTCGTTGTTGTGAGCGTCGCTCCTCCGCCCTCCGTTGTTGTTGGAGGGCGACTGCCTCTAACTGCCCAGTAGCGTCCTTAACGAGCCTCCTCCACAGAGGCCGATATTGACACCGCTGGTACCACTCATCGGCAAGTCCACTCAGCTCCACGTCCTCCTGTACCACATCACTCCATCTCTTCTCTAGCCCGTGCCGCGCCCGTTTAGCCCCCTCGATCCGGCCGAACAAAAGCTGTTTGGGCATGAGGTGGCTGGGCATGCGGTGGCTGGGCATGCGGGCTACATGGCCCAGCCAACGCAGCCTTGCCTACCGGAGGAGCTCACCAATGGGACTTTGTCCAGATCTTTCGAGGATTTGTGAGCTCCTCACACAATCCAGGCTGGTTAAACCCAGGATTGATCGTAGGCAAGCCAGCCTAAATGTTTCTAACCGGCGAAGATGTTCCATTAGGGAGGTTCACGTTTCGCACACTACCACACACTCACATACTACATCACAATGCAAACACAGCATCACTCCCAAACACAGCATGACACCACCACATCCCAACACACGTCACCACCACCACATCCCAACACACACTACCCCACCCACCACCACCACCACACGGGACTCACAGTTCGTGCTCCATCGCGGCCACCGTGGAGCAGCTGACGGAGCGATGATCTCGGCCTGCTGTGCTTTAGCTTCAGTCGGGTGTCCGGTCGAGTGCAGTCCGTGCGCTAGAGAGTACACACGGTAGGGGCTGGGCTAGAGAGTACACACGGTAGGGGCTGAGCTAGAGAGTACACACGGTAGGGGCTGAGCTAGGGAGTACACACGGTAGGGGCTGAGCTAGAGAGTACACACGGTAGGGGCTGAGCTAGGGAGTACACACAGTAGGGGCTGAGCTAGAGAGTACACACGGTAGGGGCTGAGCTAGAGAGTACACACGGTAGGGGCTGAGCTAGAGAGTACACACGGTAGGGGCTGAGCTAGGGAGTACACACAGTAGGGGCTGAGCTAGAGAGTACACACGGTAGGGGCTGAGCTAGAGAGTACACACGGTAGGGGCTGAGCTAGAGAGTACACACGGTAGGGGCTGAGCTAGAGAGTACACACGGTCGGGGCTGAGCTAGAGAGTACACACGGTAGGGACTGAGCTAGAGAGTACACACGGTAGGGGCTGAGCTAGAGAGTACACACGGTAGGGGCTGAGCTAGAGAGTACACACGGTCGGGGCTGAGCTAGAGAGTGCACACGGTAGGGGCTGGGCTAGAGAGTACACACGGTAGAGAGTACTCACTGTGGAGAGTACAGTCGAGAGTACAGTAGAGAGTACTCACTGTGGAGAGTACAGTAGAGAGTACTCACTGTGGAGAGTACAGTAGAGAGTACAGTAGAGAGTACAGTAGAGAGTACTCACTGTGAAGAGTTCCGCTACCGACTCTGTAGATCTGCTCGTCCACAAGGCCACGTCACCCGCGCCGCTTCCGGGTGACGTCACTGGGCATCAGCGGAGCCGCGTTCGGTAACTCCACCCCCAGGGCGTGTCTACATAGAGAGCGCGTTCGGTAACTCCACTCAGAATGAGTGGTTTTTAAATCCTTTATATCAGGGGTCCTCAAACTTTTTAAACAGGGGGCCAGTTCACTGTCCCTCAGACCGTTGGAGGGCCGGACTATAGTTAAAAAAAAACTATGAACAAATTCCGATGCACACTGCATATATCTTATTTTGAAGTGAAGAAACAAAACGGGAATAAATACAATATTTAAAATGAAGAACAAGTAAAGTTAAATCAACAAACTTGCCAGTATTTCAATGGGAACTATAGGCCTGCTTTTGGCTAATGAGATGGTCAATGTCCGGTTCCATATTTGTCACTGCTAGTCGTAACAAGTGATGCAAGTGTGCATCCATTAGTCTAGATCTGGTTGGAGATTTCAAATGTTTCATTCTGGAAAAAGTCTGTTCACAGACATAAGTGCTGCCAAAGATGGTTGCCATTTTGAGTGCATGGTTCCTGAGATGAGAATATGTCTCAGAGGGGAGAGATGCATAGAAATTATGAAGGCTGCTTGACTTGAATGCGTCTTTCAGAGAGTCACAATTCTGCAGTTCAGCCAGTTCCATTTGGTAAATTGTATCCACATTTTCAATGTCAATAGAAAATGGGTTACGGAAAAGCTGTATGTCCTGTTCATGGAGATGAAGCTCTTTAAATACAAATTGGAACTCCTTTTGTAATTTTTCCAGTGAATCCACACGTTTTGTTTGGGAATGCAACCAATGGTTTTTCCGCTAACAGATTTTGAGTTGTGGGGAGATGGCAGACGTTTTCCTCCTTCACTTGTTTGATGAGGAGGCCTAATATTACTTCAAATGCTTTGACATGTGATTGCATATCACAGATGAGCTTCCCCTTTCCTTGAAGTTGCACATTGAAACTGTTGAGTAGCTCTGTTACATCTGTCAGAAAGGCAAGGTGCCATTTCCATTCTGCATCATTGAGCTCTGGTACTTCTTTGTTTTTTTAAAGCAGAAAAGCTGTAATCTGTGGAAGTAAGTCATAGAAACGTTTCAAAACTCTCCCTCGACTCAGCCAACGGACTTCTGTGTGATACAGAACATCTTCATAGTCAACATTTAGCTCAGACAGAAATGCCTGAAATTGTCTGTGGTTTAGTGCATGAGCTCTAATGAAGTTAACACAAGATACCACAAATTTCATAACCGAGTCCCACTTCAGTGATTTACTACACAACGATTGTTGGTGGATGAGGCAGTGTATGGCTATTGGATGAGAATGGTTATGTTTGTCCATCTCTTGGTTAATGCGAGCAATTACTCCTTTCTTAGACCCCACCATGCTAGGAGCACCATCAGTTGTCACACTGGCTAGTTTAGCCCAGTTCAGCTCCAAACCATTCACAGTTTGGCAAACCTTTTCATAGATATCCTCTCTTCTTGGTTCTTTCGGTAAAGTCACGTAGAAGGGAAGTAATAAAATAATAAAAATAAAACATAATAAAATAATTCTCACGACGTTTCGGCCACAATGCAAGCAGCCGTCCTCAGGTGAAAGCCAGGTCTGTCGGGGAGACAGCGTCTGAATGAAACAGCACACGAGCTTGGAGCATATATAAGCTGGGTTGGAAACGGGGGAAAGAGCGCCTTGACAAATAATTTGCATATCAAGAGGAATTTAGCATATTTATGGGACATGCAGGAATGTTATTAGTACTACATATGCAGCACGAGCATATGTAGTACGAATCACATTCCTGCATTTCCCATAAATATGCTAAATTCCTCTTGATATTGAAATTATTTTGTCAAGGCGCTCTTTCCTCCGCTTCCAACCCAGCTTATATATGCTCCAAGCTCGTGTGCTGTTTCATTCAGACGCTGTCTCCCCAACAGACCTGGTTTTCACTTGAAGACGGCTGCTTGCGTTGTGGCCGAAACGTCGTGAGAATTATTTTATTACTTCCCTTCTATGTGACTTTACCGAAAGAACCAAGAAGATGAATCCCTGCAGTCACGAAAGCTTTAAATCGAAAGATATCCTCTCCTGTAGTTGTTCCTTTGATGCTTTGCAGTGCAGCAAGCTCTTCTGTGACTTCAAAATAGTCATTCGTCGCACGAATAAAATTTTGAAGTTGTGCAGAATCACGAACATCATTGCTTTCGTCGAGTGCCAAGGAAAAATAGGAAAGTTTTTTTGTGGAGTTTTGCAAATGCTGATGCAAATTGTCTCCCATTTCTTCAATCCTCCGTGTAATTGTAGGTCCTAAAAGACTCACTGTACTAAATAAATCGGCCTTCTCTGGACACATCTCTTTGGCAACATAAAGAAGGCATTCTTTAACAAATTCTCCCTCCACGAATGGTCTGCCAGTGCATGCTATTAGCTTGGCAACTTGAAAACTTGCTCGCAGTGATGAAATATTTAGCTGCTTCTGCTTCACAAAACTATTTCGCTGAGTTGTTAATGTATTTTTCAGTTTTAATATTTTATCTTTTCTCACTTCTCCGACCAAACAAGCATATTTATCTTTATGTTGAGTTTTATAGTGTTGACGTAAATTGTATTCTTTGAACACAGACACTATATTCTGGCATATCAGACACACATCTCTTTCCTTGTACTGCATGAAAAAGTAATCATAAGTCCACTGTTCTTTGAATATCCTACACTCCGAGTCAATTTTTCTCTTTCTTGACATCATTGTTTCCTAGGGAGTCAACATTGCTATTAGTAAAATACCAATATATATACAGCGCTACAAAAACAATATACCAGTAATAACTTTGCCCACACAGAGACATACAGACTGCACTGCCCATCAATGCAGTCTGATTGGGGGAAACTCCGCCCCCTCTCCCTCTTCCACCAATGACCGTCCTTCTCATGCAGAAAAAAAGTAACAGACAGGCAGCGGCGGCAAAAACACCCGGCGGGCCGGATAAATGTCCTCGGCGGGCCGCATGTGGCCCGCGGGCCGTAGTTTGAGGACCCCTGCTTTATATTAAGTTCGCTTGCTTGCGTGCTTGCTTGCTTGCTTAGGACCGTGCAAATCTTTCGGTCGTTTTTTAACCCACTTCCCGTGATCCAATCGAGCTGACATTTTCCACACAGACTCGTTGTGCCAGACAATTAATGTTCGTGAAAAAAAATTCCCAAAATTTTACACTTTTTAGGCAAAAAAAAAATATTTTACATATATTCAAAAGAACTCATTCTTGGCTTTGGCTGAACGTCACAGTATAAGAGCCCAGAGCGTAACCCCTCCACAGGCCGTGGCGGAGTAGCGCAGTTGGTAGTGCCCTCGCTTCCCATGCCAAAGGTCGTGGGATCGATCCCCGCGTCCTCCACAGGCGAATATATTTTTAAATCCTTTATATTAAGTTCGCTGCCACGCATATAAAGGATTTATAGTGAAAAACTTTGTTTTTACGGGTTATACTTATAAATCCTTTATGTTAAGTTCGCTTGCTTGCTTAGGACCGTGCAAATATTTCGGTCGTTTTTTAACCCACTTCCCGTGATCCAATCGAGCTGACATTTTGCACACAGACTTGTTGTGCGTGACAATGCATTTTCATGAAAAAAAATTCCAAAATTTTACACTGTTTAGGGACATTTTTTTAAATATTTAATTACCAATTGTTTAATGCTGCCAGACAATCATCTGACCCATAGGTGGCAGCCATCTCAAGCCAGAGGACGAAAGGACTCTAGCCGCCCCGATGCAACGCATATAAAGGATTTATAGTGAAAAACTTTGTTTTTACGGGTTTACTTGTTAAATCCTTTATATTAAGTTCGCGTGCTTGCGTGCTTGCTTGCTTGCTTAGGACCGTGCAAATCTTTCGGTCGTTTTTTAACCCACTTCCCGTGATCCAATCGAGCTGACATTTTCCACACAGACTCGTTGTGTGTGACAATTAATTTTCATGAAATTTTTTTTCCAAAATTTTACACTGTTTAGGGAAAACAAATTAAATATTTAATTACCAATTGCTTAATACTGGCAGACAATCATCTGACCCATAGATTGCAGCCATCTCAAGCCAGAGGACGAGAGGACTCTAGCCGCCACGCATATAAAGGATTTAGAGTGAAAAACTTTGTTTTTACGGGTTTACTTGTTTTTTAAATCCTTTATATTAAGTTTGCTTGCTTGCTTGAGTGCTTGCTTGCTTACGACCGTGCAAATCTTTCGGTCGTTTTTTAACCCACTTTCCGTGATCCAATGGAGCTGACATTTTGCACACAGACTCGTTGTGCGAGACAATTAATGTTCGTGAAAAAAAAATTCCATAATTTTACACTGTTTAGGGAAAACAAATTCAATATTTAATTACCAATTGCTTAATACTGGCAGACAATCATCTGACCCATAGGTGGCAGCCATCTCAAGCCAGAGGACGAGAGGACTCTAGTCGCCACGCATATAAAGGATTTAGAGTGAAAAACTTTGTTTTTACGGGTTATACTTTTAAAGACCGCTTTCGGAGACGCCACTTAGCGGAGCAATTTGTAGGACAGCGCCTAGAAGAGCAGGCAGAGTAAAGACATCTGCGAGATAATGAATGAGCAATGATGTTACATTTCCAGGCTCATATTTGGAGGGTGGCTTTGCCCAAATACGGGTTTTGGGGTGTGGTCATGCCCAAAGGATTAATTTATTTACAGGAATTGACGAGTTTTAACGATCCAAAGCTCGATCAAAGCTCCACCATTGCTCGATCACTGCTCGATCACATAGACACGTATTCAACATGCGTCTATGGGATCAAGCAGTGATTCAACTATGACACTATACTGGTAGGAACCTCCTGGTTACACCAGCCCACAGGGGATTATTATGTCCGTCCGTCGTGCAGGGAGGGGCTGGGTGGGGAGGGTTGGGCGTGGGAGGGGTGGGGAGGGGCTGGTCACCCCGTGGTGCCCTTATAAAACTCAACGTTTAACCTCCTATACTCTTAGGTTTTTTCGGTAAAGTCACGTAGGTAAAAAATAAAATTAAAAGT